TATTTGCTTTTTATTTATCTCTCAGCCTCTGTTGCTATTGTCCGATTCATTGGTATTTGTAGAGCCATACGATTTAGTTCGATGAAGAACTCTGTTGATTTTTTTTTTGGTCACAGGGTAGATCAATTTCATACTCAGTTTGAATCCTGGATCAGAAACCATGGTGACTGTTGTTTGTTTATTGTATTATTTTGAAATAGATTTTTGATTTATTAAGTAATATGAGAACATAGAGGCAAAGAAAAAGAAAATTATGCCTTTTNTAGAAGAAAGAGCATTAAATACTCCAGACTTGAGCATTTAATAACAGGGCCTCACTCATGCAAAGTAGGAGGCGCACTGCCCCATGTCTGGGTACTACCCACTACCTAGGCCATCAGTAATGATGGGCCATTGGAGGTATAAATAGTCCTAAAAAATATAACGCAAATGTACGCAAAATGGCCTCTCAAGAGCCGTAACAATGTTTTTTTCTTCCCCTCTCTTAAAAAATTGACTAGATCGTTAGAGGAGATACACTGAAAAACACTCCGACACCCTTCTAACCCTTTTTTTGAGTGCCAGGATATGCCGAAAAATACTCCAGCACACCAAAATCGATCGAACAGCCTGAAGGCCAACTCATCACCACTCCTTAAGTCACTTGTGACCGTTCTTTTGTCACGGGATTGTCAACTTTCTAGGTAAACACGAATTCACTAAGAGAGAGAACTGTTTTTACTTATTTGTTGTACAAAAAAACGCCTGCACAAGTATAAATATAAATATAAATTTATTCTCCAACCAATATTATAAAACAACCAAAATCACAAACCAAACAAGCCCTTTATGACCCAGGTGTTGAGAGTTAAGTATATGCAAGGTTGTTATTGGCAGATACAGAATGGAAACCAAGTCAATCTTCAGCACCACAAGGGGTTTCAATGTATTTTTAGAAAAATCAAAGGGAAGTCCTTGTATTTACAGTAGACTACAAGGGGGTGATGATTGCAATATTTCCTAGATATAAACTAGGGTCTTCATCCGAACCGTAGATTAATCTAGAATAAATCTCGGCCGTAGATGTTAACCTAAATGCTTTGCTGAGTTCACAAACCCTTGTCTTCTCTGTCGGCGTTCGATACGCACGAGTCCCATCTCTCTCTCTCTCTCTCTCCCCGTTGTCTCCGTACTTCCTTCTTACAGGTAAATATTTTTGAGGTTTCTGTATAACTTTTATGGATTTTGACTGAAAATTGGGTTATCTAGTTTCATTGTTACCAACAAATTGAGTGGTCCGAAAATAGGATTGGGTTTTATTTGCTTTTTATTTATCTCTCAGCCTCTGTTGCTATTGTCCGATTCATTGGTATTTGTAGAGCCATACGATTTAGTTCGATGAAGAACTCTGTTGATTTTTTTTTTGGTCACAGGGTAGATCAATTTCATACTCAGTTTGAATCCTGGATCAGAAACCATGGTGACTGTTGTTTGTTTATTGTATTATTTTGAAATAGATTTTTGATTTATTAAGTAATATGAGAACATAGAGGCAAAGAAAAAGAAAATTATGCCTTTTCTTGTTCAAAGTGGTGATTTTTTTATTTTATGTATTTGAGGGTACGTAAAGGCTAATTGATTGTTATTGTTGAAATTATTGAAATGTTTTTATGATTTTGTAAGCAAGCTAAGGGTTTTGAATCTTCTGATTGATTGGGGTGGAGTTAAATGATTGAATCTCTGCGTGATAATTGATTACTTACTAAATTGTTATTAAATTCTTTTTTTTTTAAGTTAGAAGTGGTAAAATAGAAATACCATTATATTTGTATCTTGTTTGGTCACAGGGAATATCAATTTCACACTTGAGTTTGAACCATAAATCAGAAACTATGGTGACTCTGTTCTGTTTGTTGTGTTATTTTGCATTAATTTTTGATTTATTGAATAATATGAGAACAAAAAGGGGCAAAGAAAAAGAAAATTATGCCTTGTATTGTTCAAATTGGTGATATTTTTAATGTATTTGAGTTTATGTAAATGCTAATTTATAGCTATTGTTGAAATTATTGAAATTTTTTATGATTTTGTAATCAAGCTAAGGGTTTTGGTTGATTTCTTGGGGTGGAGTTCAATGATAGGATCTCTGTGTGTTTATGTACTAAATTATTTTTGTAGTTACAAGGGGCAAAATAAAAATTTAATTATGTTGTGTACTTGTGGGACTTATGTGTTATATAAATATTTCCTTTTTATACAATATTTGTTCCAATTCTTTTCATAAATTTTCGACAAATCAAACCCATCAAAATTCACTTAGAATTGAACCAAAAGACCGAGGACACTTGCCATCTTACATCTACAACAGCACATGAAGCAGCTAATTCCTTTGAAAAAACATAAAGAAAGCCAACTTCAAATCACATTCATGTATCAAATCAGGACCAAAATGAAACCACCAAACAAAGAGAAAGATTCGGACTATTCAGGAAAATACATAGAAGTCCCTCCAGCCATTGATTAAGCGACATAAAACGCAAAATCTTTATAAATCCTAACCAAATTGATTATCTTGACTTTCAAACTAAATTGAGTAAAAATAGTGTGAAAATCTACAAAATGTAATCTTACCTGATAAGAGAGGGATCCAATTGAATTTAACACCTACTCAAAGGACTAAGTAGACATAATTGTGGGTGTTGTATATGTGCGTATATGCGTGTGGCTAATGGAGCTGAGACGTGGAAGCATCCTAAAATGTGCAGTGCGGCATGACCTAGGAAGCTAGGTTTTGAGATTTTTAACAGGCTTTAGCTGGTAAGTTTTTTGTGGGACCAATTTTTATGGAGGTGTTTCATGAAGGTTTGATTANCCGTACTTCCTTCTTACAGGTAAATATTTTTGAGGTTTCTGTATAACTTTTATGGATTTTGACTGAAAATTGGGTTATCTAGTTTCATTGTTACCAACAAATTGAGTGGTCCGAAAATAGGATTGGGTTTTATTTGCTTTTTATTTATCTCTCAGCCTCTGTTGCTATTGTCCGATTCATTGNCTAAATGCTTTGCTGAGTTCACAAACCCTTGTCTTCTCTGTCGGCGTTCGATACGCACGAGTCCCATCTCTCTCTCTCTCTCTCTCCCCGTTGTCTCCGTACTTCCTTCTTACAGGTAAATATTTTTGAGGTTTCTGTATAACTTTTATGGATTTTGACTGAAAATTGGGTTATCTAGTTTCATTGTTACCAACAAATTGAGTGGTCCGAAAAATAGGATTGGGTTTTATTTGCTTTTTATTTATCTCTCAGCCTCTGTTGCTATTGTCCGATTCATTGGTATTTGTAGAGCCATACGATTTAGTTCGATGAAGAACTCTGTTGATTTTTTTTTTGGTCACAGGGTAGATCAATTTCATACTCAGTTTGAATCCTGGATCAGAAACCATGGTGACTGTTGTTTGTTTATTGTATTATTTTGAAATAGATTTTTGATTTATTAAGTAATATGAGAACATAGAGGCAAAGAAAAAGAAAATTATGCCTTTTCTTGTTCAAAGTGGTGATTTTTTTATTTTATGTATTTGAGGGTACGTAAAGGCTAATTGATTGTTATTGTTGAAATTATTGAAATGTTTTTATGATTTTGTAAGCAAGCTAAGGGTTTTGAATCTTCTGATTGATTGGGGTGGAGTTAAATGATTGAATCTCTGCGTGATAATTGATTACTTACTAAATTGTTATTAAATTCTTTTTTTTTTAAGTTAGAAGTGGTAAAATAGAAATACCATTATATTTGTATCTTGTTTGGTCACAGGGAATATCAATTTCACACTTGAGTTTGAACCATAAATCAGAAACTATGGTGACTCTGTTCTGTTTGTTGTGTTATTTTGCATTAATTTTTGATTTATTGAATAATATGAGAACAAAAAGGGGCAAAGAAAAAGAAAATTATGCCTTGTATTGTTCAAATTGGTGATATTTTTAATGTATTTGAGTTTATGTAAATGCTAATTTATAGCTATTGTTGAAATTATTGAAATTTTTTATGATTTTGTAATCAAGCTAAGGGTTTTGGTTGATTTCTTGGGGTGGAGTTCAATGATAGGATCTCTGTGTGTTTATGTACTAAATTATTTTTGTAGTTACAAGGGGCAAAATAAAAATTTAATTATGTTGTGTACTTGTGGGACTTATGTGTTATATAAATATTTCCTTTTTATACAATATTTGTTCCAATTCTTTTCATAAATTTTCGACAAATCAAACCCATCAAAATTCACTTAGAATTGAACCAAAAGACCGAGGACACTTGCCATCTTACATCTACAACAGCACATGAAGCAGCTAATTCCTTTGAAAAAACATAAAGAAAGCCAACTTCAAATCACATTCATGTATCAAATCAGGACCAAAATGAAACCACCAAACAAAGAGAAAGATTCGGACTATTCAGGAAAATACATAGAAGTCCCTCCAGCCATTGATTAAGCGACATAAAACGCAAAATCTTTATAAATCCTAACCAAATTGATTATCTTGACTTTCAAACTAAATTGAGTAAAAATAGTGTGAAAATCTACAAAATGTAATCTTACCTGATAAGAGAGGGATCCAATTGAATTTAACACCTACTCAAAGGACTAAGTAGACATAATTGTGGGTGTTGTATATGTGCGTATATGCGTGTGGCTAATGGAGCTGAGACGTGGAAGCATCCTAAAATGTGCAGTGCGGCATGACCTAGGAAGCTAGGTTTTGAGATTTTTAACAGGCTTTAGCTGGTAAGTTTTTTGTGGGACCAATTTTTATGGAGGTGTTTCATGAAGGTTTGATTAGTTGGAGTTGAGAGGGTCTATGCTTGCTCTAGGACCCCCGGGGGGGGGGGGGGTTGGATTAATTGGGTAGCCCACCCTTTCATTTGGGCTATGCTTGTTTTGACACTTTTTTATGGTTTCTTTTTTTTTAATCAATCAGATGCTAAATTTAGAAGTTTCTTATTGGTTTTGTCTGAATTGAAAGGCTTTTACTGCATTTTGGAGGTGGCTTATATTGCAGAATGGGTGAAACTGGGAAGCGAGCTCGCTTTCAGAGGGACAGGGACAATGACTCGGACAAGAAGCATCAGAAGAGATGGACAGATAGAGATGACAGAGGCAATGACGAGGTGGTTGTATATAGAATATTGTGTCCAGATGGGTTTATTGGGAGTGTGATTGGAAAGAGTGGGAAAGTGATAAATTCGATCAGGCAAGAGACTAGGGCGAAGGTTAAAGTGGTGGATCCATTTCCTGGTGCTAAGGATAGGGTGCTAACAATCTATTGCTATGTTAAGGAAAAGGAAGATGTTGAGGTTGATGAGGAATTCAATGATGAGGAACCTCTTTGTCCTGCCCAGGATGCACTGCTCAAGGTGCATGTGGCAATTGCAAATGCTGTTGCTTCTGTTGGGGATTCAGATAAAAAGCGAAAAGATAGAGAGGATTGTCAACTTCTTGTTCCATCTAGCCAGTCTGCAAATATTATTGGGAAATCTGGGGCTACTATAAAGAAACTGAGAAGCAAGACAAGGGCAAACATTAAGGTTACCCCAAAAGACGCCAGTGACCCCACTCATTCATGTGCCTTGGACTTCGACAACTTTGTTTCGGTTAGTTATTTTTTTCCTTGAGAAATATTTGGTTAGTGTTGTTCTTGTTTGCATTAAAGTTTTATAAAGGATTTTAGACACTTGATTTTAAAATTTTGGGAGATGCCTGCCAAGTACGAGAAACTGCACATCTGGTTTAGATTTTTTTTTTTATTTTGTAAAGTGGCTTCTTGTTAGCTAAAAAATTATGGTCTTCTAGGTAGTTAATGTTTGCTTAGGTAGATTTTTTTTTTGACTAGTTGTGTTCTATAAAGGACGGATACTCTTGAGAAGGTGACATATCTGTGTCGGACAGACACTTTCGACACTCTTCGGAGACATGTCCGATACTCTTTTATCATTGTCCATAACTAAATGAATTTTTTTTTAATTCTTTGGTGACGTGTCCGACACTTCTTTAGAATGTGTCTACTACTAAATAATAAATATGTGTTGAAATGTGATTAATAAAGTTTAAATTTTGATAACATGTAATTACTATAATACTAGACATGTTAAAATTATACTCCAAATATAATAATAAAACAAAATATGCATAAAAGTTTAAAGAAAGAGGAATTGAGAAAATAAGAGCAATTATTTAAATTATATATTAGGTACACATTGTCTACAAAAAAATTGATGATTATTGACTATTATGACGATGCTTTAGTCTAAAAATTTACACAGATGACTACACATAAGATTTGCTTCTCATAAAATACTGAATCTTTTATGAATTACATATCATTATCACTATATTTGTGATAAATTATANATTTTTTTTTTTATTTTGTAAAGTGGCTTCTTGTTAGCTAAAAAATTATGGTCTTCTAGGTAGTTAATGTTTGCTTAGGTAGATTTTTTTTTTGACTAGTTGTGTTCTATAAAGGACGGATACTCTTGAGAAGGTGACATATCTGTGTCGGACAGACACTTTCGACACTCTTCGGAGACATGTCCGATACTCTTTTATCATTGTCCATAACTAAATGAATTTTTTTTTAATTCTTTGGTGACGTGTCCGACACTTCTTTAGAATGTGTCTACTACTAAATAATAAATATGTGTTGAAATGTGATTAATAAAGTTTAAATTTTGATAACATGTAATTACTATAATACTAGACATGTTAAAATTATACTCCAAATATAATAATAAAACAAAATATGCATAAAAGTTTAAAGAAAGAGGAATTGAGAAAATAAGAGCAATTATTTAAATTATATATTAGGTACACATTGTCTACAAAAAAATTGATGATTATTGACTATTATGACGATGCTTTAGTCTAAAAATTTACACAGATGACTACACATAAGATTTGCTTCTCATAAAATACTGAATCTTTTATGAATTACATATCATTATCACTATATTTGTGATAAATTATACAATGTTATATAAAATATAATTTTTTGTAGTGTATCCCTAATGTGTCCGTGTTCTACTTTTTTAAGAAATGTCGTATTTGTGTGTTCATACCATGTCGTGTCTGTGTCTCGTGTCTGTGCTTCTTATGTTGTGTTACTTGGATATTGCTTCCATCACCACTATTATTTCTAGACAATTTCTTCTTATCTTCTTATGAAAATTTTGCTCTGGCTAACTTCATTTGATTTATCAATCTTTTTTACAACTCGTAAATAGATAAGTGGCGATTCAGATGCAGTGAAGAAAGCTCTGTTCGCAGTTTCTGCCATCATGTACAAGTTCACTCCAAAGGAGGAGATTCCTCTAGAGACTTCTGTACCGGAAGCCCCTCATAGCATCATTATCCCTTCAGATGTTCCCATCTATCCTGCGGCTGGACTATATCCTAACGTGGATCCTATTGCATCTTCCAGATCTGTTACTTCCATTTTAGGTCCTACGCATGTACCAGAACTATCAAGCTATCCTGATACAGGCAGCACATGGCCAGTTTATTCATCTGCCCTTCCTGTGGTTTCTGGGTTTGGGGGTGCATCTCGATCTGAGGAGTTAACTATAAAGGTGTTGTGTCCCTTTAACGTGATTGGCCGTGTAATTGGCAAGGGGGGGAGCTCCATTAAAAGTGTCAGGCAAGCTAGCGGTGCTCGGGTTGAAGTGGATGATACCAAGACGGATCGTGACGAGTGTGTCATCACTGTTAACTCAACAGAGGTGTGGTTTCTTCCTTAGTCATTCCTAGATTAATATCATGGGTTTTGTCGACTACACTAAAGTCACCAGCAGGACCGGAAAAAGCTTCTTTTGCCTCGACTTATTTTTCTGCTTACTATGTTCTTTAGTCTTGGAGAACCTGTCACTCAGATTCGGTTACTATATGAGTTCTTTCTTTTTTTTTTTTTTTAATTCCCATACATTCTTCCTTTGATATCCTGGGTTCTGAAGTCAGCATGTTTCTTTGTAGAATTTTCTTGTAAATAAAATTTGTTGTATTTTAAAACATCATTTGGAACTGTTGAATGTCTTTCAAACAATATTTGCTCTGTCATGGTAGACATGGTTTATCAGGTATAACTTATTTCTTACCTGCTGAGCTGGAAATCTAAATTCTTATAATCGTCGAAAGGATGCCATCGTAATGAAGTTTCTAGAGAAAGTGAAAATGCATTCATGTTCTGTTAACTTTGGGTAAACTCAATTGTCATGATGTTAATATGTACCACAATTTTCATCTATAATAACCACCTATGGTTAACATGGATACACACAGTGAATTCAAATTCTACCATGTATATACAGAGGCATTGAATGTCTCCTTCTGTCAGTGACTTTGCTCTTAACACCCCCCAATGGAATGAAGAAGAACTTGGGAAAATGTAATGTTCCACATCTGATATTTCCATTTGTCTTGACCATGTTGGACATCTATTCTCTTGCAGTCGCTGGATGATCTGAAATCCATGGCAGTTGAAGCTATTTTACTGCTGCAAGAAAAGATAAATGATGAAGATGATGATACTGTTACTATCCGGCTCCTTGTTCCATCTAAAGTTATTGGGTGTATTATTGGAAAAAGTGGTTCAATCATAAACGAAATTCGGAAAAGAACTAAAGCTGATATCCGTATCTCAAAAGGTCAAAAGCCCAAGTGTGCTGATAGCAATGATGAACTTGTTGAGGTCTGTTGCATCCAATTCCTATATTTTTTCTAATATCGTTTTATTATTTCCCAAAATTTTTTGTTGCCTTTGGTTATTCTTATTGGCGTCTATGTTATGCATTTAGGTGGTTGGAGAAGTTGGTGGTGTGAGGGATGCACTCATTCAGATTGTTTTGAGACTCCGAGATGACATTTTGAAAGATAGGGAGGCTGGTCGGAATCCATCTGCTGGTGCTGATTCGTTCTACTCTGGTGGCACTGGTCTTTCACTGCCTTCAGTTTTGCCCAGTGTACCTCCAGTTGCTCCAATGAGTTATGAGCAGAGGGCTGAAACTGGGAGTGGGATGGGCTTACTTTCCTCAAGTAGTCTCTATGGATATGGATCCTTGTCGGTATGTTACTGTTAGCTTTTCTCTGTTGCTGTTTCATTCTTATCATGTTGGTCTCAGGAGTTTCTATTTCATCTCTTCTTTTGTGGTCGAGGGGGTTTGGTTACTGTGCTTAGTAACCTAACAGCGTGCATGATAACCAAATGAGTGATGAAATTTGAAGAATCTAATGGTTTCTTGCTTTAATATTACAATATAAAACTCTCTGTTTTCCTCCTCTCGTTTGATCATTAGCCGCCTTTTTTTAACTTAGTGCAAATCATGCCAATATTGACATATTTCCACAGTTTCCCTCCTGCACACCGACCTCCTCTTTTGATTAGGCTTCTTTGTTTTGGTATAGTATTATTTTAGAAGCAGTTATTGCTTTAATGTACTTTTCAAACCTTTAAGGTGAGTATATACGTGTAGAAAACCAGGCTCAATACCCAAGGAGTGTTGTCCAGGTGTAAAGGAGCATCCACCAAGTTTTTGCCAGTATACTGAATTATGATAAGTCATCATTAAATTGTGGATCCATCAATATGTTTTGGCTATGTTACAGATGTTACCATAATCATCGTTTATTATCACATTTGATATAGCTATGTTTTTATTTGATAGGAAACCACATTTCATTTCATCTAGCAATGTTCCTCTATTTAAGTTTTGTTGAGTGTCACGTTCCCTTTGCTGTAGTTGCCTCTGCTTGTGAATTATCTTTCAAGTATATCTTGATTTATTTTATTTTATTTCTTGAAATTGAAAGTGAAAATCTGGTTTAATGGTTCACTTTTATCTTCTATTTTGACTGGCTGATTTTATCCTGACAAGGTGGGAGATGATGGCTATGGCGCTTTGTCTTCATATTCATCGAAGCTGTATGGAGGGTTAGTATTTCATATCCAGAACATAAATTTATGAATATTGCTTCTCTTAGTTTTGTGCTGCTTCTGAAAATCTGTGGTCTTACATAACACCTGTTGTGAATAGGTTGCCTCCACCCTCAACCCTAGAGATGATTGTCCCTGCAAATGCAGTTGGTAAAGTTATGGGTAAAGGTGGTGCGAATATCGAGAATATCCGCAAGGCGAGTCTTACCTTTTTGAATCATTCACTTTTATTTATTCTTCTCTTCCTCCTCCTTTTGTGTATGCTAGTTGGCTTTGGGAAACGTGGGGGTATATCTTGTCAAACTATCTTGAACTCCACTTCATCAAATGATATTCTCTCTCATCCTTGCTTGTCTTCCAGATATCTGGAGCTGCCGTGGAGATATCTGACTCCAAATCTTCCCGAGGTGATCGTGTGGCTCTAATATCTGGAACACCTGAGCAAAAGCGTTCAGCTGAAAACTTGATTCAGGCATTTATAATGGCCACTTGACTTATGAAGATTCTGCGTCTTATGTGAAGGTGAACTTTGTGTTAAATCTTGGGGCCTTCTTCAAGAGTTTCGTCTTTGTAGTTCATCTAGGTTTTGGTTGNGATTCTGCGTCTTATGTGAAGGTGAACTTTGTGTTAAATCTTGGGGCCTTCTTCAAGGGTTTCGTCTTTGTAGTTCATCTAGGTTTTGGCGANCCACTTGACTTATGAAGATTCTGCGTCTTATGTGAAGGTGAACTTTGTGTTAAATCTTGGGGCCTTCTTCAAGAGTTTCGTCTTTGTAGTTCATCTAGGTTTTGGTTGCGGAGATATGTGTTCCTTAGGTTTCTTCTATTGGACTCTCGGTTCTTCTGTGTGCAGGAAGATTTAATCATGGCTCTATTTTGGGGATATAGGTTTAGCCTTATGTTGCTTAATAGGAGGCTCTACTCATCTGCGGTTGTCTTAGAACTTAATAGGATCTTTTCTTTCCTATCTAGTGTTTTAATCAGTTCTTATCCCTGGTTAGTGGTGGATTCCATCTTATTTCCAAGGTTGCTAAATTCTATACATTTGATGTTCTTGCCAGAATACTCTGCTGATCGTAATTGTCAAACTCATAATGCGGATTTTTTTAGTGTTTTTGCCATTCACTCCTCCTGATCTCAGCTTCTTCAGAAGGATCTTCTGATTCTTCTCAATCAATGATGCATGCTTCAATGCGGTTTGGTATTTTCTCTCCTTGATACTTTCCTGCCTTGGTGGATATTTACAAATTAGAGTTACGAACTTCATCTTCTGATAGTTGATATGCTACATATGCTTGAGGCATTGAATTGTTACCCTTAATTTGCTTTCTAATCTATTGCTTTGCTATTTCACAAATCAAACACTACAGTTTTGTCATGAAAATTGCAGGTTCCCATAGTTATAGACAGATTCCGCGGCTTCTGAGGAATTCCCTGTTCGTTATGTTAGATCTAATCTTGTGCCTCTTATGCGATTCCATGCTCTTCATCTGTTGCTTGGCTATTTCACTAACCAAACACAATAGTTTTGTCATGAAATTTGCAGGTTCCCATAATTATAGACAGATTCATCTGCTTCTGTGGAATTCCTTGTTCACTATATTTTATCTAATCTTGTGCCTCTTATGAGATTCCATGTCTTTCATCTGAAAATCCGTCAGCATGTTTTATATTATGGCCTTCTCAGAACCTAATCTATTAATCCTTTTTATTTTTTCTACTCTAAGCTGGCCCTTGATACAATGAAAAAAGTTTACTTGTTTCTGTTGTGTCAACTTGTGAGTGGCTTTTGTATGCTTAAGGTACAATTTTTTTGGGACTCCAACTGTCAATCACAATTGAATAATGAGTGATTTAGCAACATGAGTTGCATTAAACCACTATTATCCTCTTCAGTTACTTGTTACTGCCGTATCAACTTCTGAGTGGCTTTCGTACTCTTAAGGAGAATTGTATTGGACTTCATGTGTCCATGATGGTTGAATATTGTGTGGTTTAGCAACATGAGTTGATTTAACCACTATTATCCTATTCAGCCTAGCTCTGTGATGCCCAATAAAATGTTATTTAAATAAACGAATATTTGTCCCCCTTATTCTTTTTCGAGCTACCAGTTCTTTAATATCCCATTTTATTTGGGTTTTATTGCACGCTGGCTCATATGACTTGGGAGTCGTTAGAGAGAAAAAAAAATACCTTATTCTAAATGTTTGTGAATTGCTATTCCTCCTAATTTTCTTCATGGAATAAAGCATCCATGATATTTTGAATATATCCTCGAGAATTTCATGTTCTCAAGAACACGTATATGTTTTATTGATATTCTTCATATTATTTGTCTGCAAGTAACTCTTACCAGTTTTGTTGCTTAACGAATAACTTTCTGCAAATTCCCTACAATATCATCAATTATTGACATTTGTACTCTCGGGGCCTCTGTGCATCTATTTTTGGCTTTCTTGGGAGTTGTTTGCTTGTCAATATTTCCATAATTCCTGCCATATGCTTAAAGAAGATACACAAGTATATCTCAAAAAGCAGTCTCTTCTTTTGTGCGACTATTACAGACCATCGATTGACTGTTTCCTATGTTTTCTTTTTCTTCCATTTTGTTCTGTTTTGGGGGTTGGGTAGGGGCTAGTGTCTGTGGTTGACCCATGTGTGGCTTCTGTTTCTATGAATACAAATTTTTCCCTGAAGGATTTTCTGCTGTGTTCTTTTTATCTCGATGACTGATTTGTATTTTTCTGTTGTCCCCATGCAAGCAATAGAATTTGACGCGAGCTTTTCTTGCCCGTTACCTTTCCTCTTTGTTTTTCCTCTGAACATCATCGCAAGGTGATCTGAACTTACAGTACCTCACACCATTGTCGTTGGGTTATATCAGAAATCCTCTGCCTCATTAGTATAGCCTAGTGTTCCAATTTATCGGGTGGGTATTGCTTAAGAAATTTTAAAGGAAAAGGTTATTTCTTTGTTCTTCCAGGAAAATTCTAGTACACAGGTTTGAATCCACTAGATCATAAAAGATTCTAGGGTCATGCTTACGCATCAAAGCCTACCTTACCTCCCTTCAAAATAGTGCTTTTAACTTCCACTGCTNGTTCTTCCAGGAAAATTCTAGTACACAGGTTTGAATCCACTAGATCATAAAAGATTCCAGGGTCATGCTTACGCATCAAAGCCTACCTTACCTCCCTTCAAAATAGTGCTTTTAACTTCCACTGCTCTCTCAGTTTTCTCTTGTTGCATATATGGGGCGAGTTCATCGTGAAGGGTGGGGGCTAAAGTGAGTGTGTTATTTTCCATGGTGGTTACTTCAAGGTTTAGAAGGAATTTTGAGATTATCCGCGGGGTGGGTACCAGTTGTGCTGCTTGTTGAGGTGGGTTCTAAATGATTCTTGATTTAGCAGTATCAATACGGCAATGGCAGGAGTACGTAATCCATAATTGTTTTTAGGAAGATGGATATACCGATGCTTCTGTTCTCATGAAGCTTTGTAAAATTGGATATCTAGGTTGGTGGTTTGTCTGGCTTACAATTTGTTTTGATGAAGTACAATTTGGTTGAGTGGTGTATATATATTGTGGAACTCAGGAGGCTTCTCTCAGGCTTGTAGACTGTTTTATGATTTTGTATTTGAGCATACATAGATTAGGTAGCTGCTTTTTTGGCCGCGCGGGAATGTAGTGTATGAACATATGACTATCGCATGTATGTTTAATGTTCTAAATTTGTGCCCTCATCGAGTACTAGAAATTGTTTGGTCCAATTATTGTGATATTATCGAAGCTGCTGGTTGGCTGGCAATGCCTTGGGAGGAAAGTTCTTTGATTATGCTCTACTAGGTGATGACAATGTCATTGCGGACTCAGTAGTCGTGAAGTCATATGTTGAGGTTATGGAGTAGTGTAAGGTGACCATATCAAAAGAGAAGTCCTCAATTCCTGTGTCCCTTTGGGTTCTCCGTGTTTAGATGCATGTGTTTATCTAGAAGGGTAAATAAATATATGCAGTAGTTGGTATTTTATCTGGTTGTGCGCTCTCTCTCTTTTAGCTGGTGGTTATATGTTGTTTCTGCTGCTTCTTGGCTTTAAATGACGTTGGAAGTGTTGAAGCTTGCTTGCTAAAGCTGGTGAACCTACTTTGCATCCCCTTCTGCACCCGATGATGCTTTTTAGTGGGAATGAAATGAACTTGTTAGTTTACGGAATATAGATTACCATGCTATATTTGGAAAGATCTGGGATGTTTTTATGGGTACTGTAAGATCTAGGATCAAGTGTTGGAATATAATTGAAATTTTATTCAAAGTACTGTTGCTGATAAAATAATAATTGATTGTAATGCTCTAAACCAGAAAAAAAGAGAGAGAGAGAGAGAGANATTGAAATTTTATTCAAAGTACTGTTGCTGATAAAATAATAATTGATCGTAATGCTCTAAACCAGAAAAAGAGAGAGAGAGAGAGGGAGACCTGACGTATAAGAACTGCACCAAGATTCGCATCAGCGGGACCTGAATTTTGGGATCCCAGATTTTGACTCTTAAGCTTGGATTGGCATTCGGGACCCCCAGGATCATGTACTTGGGGCTTGTACCTTCAACCCTAGTACCTTGGAATTGAGATCTGAGACCCGGGAATTGGGAGGTAATGGAGAAGATGGTGGCAGTGAGTGGTGGTGGTGATTGGCAATATGTAATACCATTGCATATTTGGGAAGGCCAAGTCTTGAATTTGTGGGGATGAATTTACAAAAAACTACAAACTAAATGCTGAAATGAGAGTTATTTAGGTATGGACATTCCATTTCCATGCTGAATAATGGCAAATCAAACCTAGTATTTTGTCTATAAAATGAAATTTGTATTGTTTTTATAATGATATTTGTATAGTGAGTGTGAGTTTTGCCCCTAATTATGATGGATATTTATCAATGAGAAAAATTGATGTAAAATATGTTAAGAGAGGATTTGGAATATATGGTAGGCTCTTTTTTTTTTTTTTTGGGGTCTGAATTCAGTTGATATATGGGGGAGAGGGTGATTTTTTTGTATTTGAAATTTATTGTGTAGGGTTGGAGTAAATATTCAATGTAATACTGATATTACATTAATATTGTTACGTGGTATTATCATTCAATAATAAAATATCAAGTGGATAAAGTGAACCCGACTTCCTTTCTAGTGTAGTTGTTATCTACATGGAGAGAGAGAGAGAGAGAGCTCTGGTAGTTGTTATATTACATGTAGTGGTAATTATTTAGTTGTGTAAGATTTATTTATTTATTTATTAATATATTATTGAATTATGATATCATATGACAAATGTTATTGTTGTACACTTTTATATTAAATATTTTCTCATAGAGATGAACTTAAAATATTCAGTGATATTACATTATTATTGACACGTGTTATCATTATTTAATAATAAAATACTATGTAGGATAAATGGATCTCATTATTTTAACTTAAAAAGTTATTGGATGTGATGGTTCGGTTATTGAAATAATGGGATTCAATTAGTCCATATGGTATTTCAAAGGTAGTTGATTGTATCACGTGTATTACCATCATCTTAACTTTTTTTTTTTCTTGCTCATCAATCAATGTGATAATTTTATTGTCATAAAAATAAAAAGTACTAATTTCTGGGGGAATGTTATTGGAATTTAAAAAATTAATTTATTAATATCTTAAATTTTTTTATTAAAAGTTTATTACTTGACACAATTATAGATGTTGATGAGACATAGCATTTGAGATAAAAAAAAATTTAATTGTAGTCTGAAAATTAGGGCTAAATTAGTGATCACTATAGTGTCAAAAAATATCCAAATCTGTTTTACCCTCACAAAAAAAAAAATAAAAAATTAAGCATAATCTAAAGTCCAATTAGATAAGGAATGAATAATACTACACAACTCATCATCATTTGAATTTGTGGATTTCATTAATTTTTTTAGTTGGACCCACTAATTCAACGATAATATGTATTTAGTATTTTTTGATAACGAATATGTAGCGTTGATTATAAAGGGTAATTTAAGTGGGAACAGGAGGGAACCGTAAATTCATACGTTTTGAATTTAATTCTCGGTAATTTGTTTGGTAAGATCATAAGAGATTTATCTTTCATGAATATCCTAATTTTTTAGCATAGAGAATTTAATTTTAACTAAACTAAAAAAGAGATTTGATTGAAATACACACTCCAGTCCAAAGAATGTGTAATGTCTATGTGTGGCTGCGCGTATATTTTGGACGAATCACTCCAGTCCAAAGGCCACCCTGACGGTGTAATACGGCCAAATTCTGGTAATCAGCGCAAGTGGGTGGTATAATGCTATGCTTACTGTGACAAACACTATTAAATTACACCATCATCATCATCATATAGTATAATTAAAATTAATTAATAATAAATAAATAAGTAATATGTGAACCTCACTAATCTTATATTACAGTTTTGAACGTGAAATGTATCGGTAATTATATAATTTGGTAGAATTCATTAGTCTTACATAATTAATTTAATTATTCATAATTAGTCAGTTATATTAGATGACGGTGCTGATGTAGTATAACTGTTGAATTAAATATTTTCTCGACATACACATTAATCATATCACCGACCTATTATGGGTAATTCTACTGTATCGACAACAAAAAAAAAATAAAAAAAAAATTGGTATCATATTGAAGGTTAGTACTTTTGAAGTT